TCATCAAGGATCCTGCTGCTCAGTATTTGGTTGATTTGGTAGGACAGGGCAAGGCTCGCCAGTTCTACATGGAAGATGGTTTTCTGAAAGTAAAAGGGAACCGACTTTATGTTCCTAAAGGAGGAGATTTGTGGAGGACTCTTCTAGCGGAATGTCATGATACTCTGTGGGCCGGCCATCCTGTGAAGAACGCACCATGGCGTTACTTCGTCGTGCCTATTATTGGCCTTAAATGGCCGATGATGTCGCTCAGTATGTGAAGACTTGTCTAGTATGCCAGAAGGACAAGTCGGACCGCTTGACACAAGCGGGACTCTTGGAACCACTCGCTGTCCCAAAGAGACCTTGGGAAAGCGTTTCCCTGGATTTCATCACCGGATTGCCCAAGGTCGGAGATCTCACAACCATCTTGGTTGTGGTGGACCGGTTTTCCAAGTATGCCACCTTTATTGCAGCCCCACAATATATATCATCAGAAGATACAGCTCGACTCTTCTTCTCTCATGTCGTCAAATATTGGGGCCTGCCCAAAGACATTGTTAGTGACCGCGACTCACGCTTCACTAGCAACTTTTGGACCCAACTCTTCAAGTGCCTTGGGTCAAAATTGAGTCACAGCTCAAGTTTTCATCCGCAATCTGATGGCCAGACGGAGCGGTTCAATGGTATGCTGGAGGAATACCTCCGCCACTTTGTAACCGGATCGCAGAAGAATTGGGTGAAGCTTCTGGATGCTGCTCAACTGTGTTTCAATTCACAAAAGAGCTCTAGTACCAACCAGGTGAAATATCAGATGTAAGGCAATCTTGTGGTATAGTGGAGTTAGGCTGTGGGGAAGTATCTGAGGTGGAAGGAGGTATAGGAAAAGTAGAATTAGGGCATGGGGAGGGATTATCTTGAGACATATGGGAGAAGGGAAAGATGTGTTCAATGAAATGAACATCCCTGGACACAAACAATTTTCTGGTGGTGAGGTTCAACAACTTATATCCCTTTTGACCAGCAGGATAGCCCATGAATACACATGCTATGGCCCTAGGATCAAACTTTCCTCTGTTATGTGACAAGGTGGAAGCATAACAAAGACAACCAAAACTTCCTAAGAAAAAATAAGAAGGTGCTTTACCAAACATTAGATGATAGGGAGTATGTCCTTTGAGCACTCTAGAGGGAAATCTGTTGATGAGAAATGTAGCTGTTAGGATGCATTCTCCCCAATAGCAAAGAGGCACTTTAGATTGAAAAAGCAAAGCTCTAGCAATCTCTACCAGATGTCTATGTTTCCTCTCCACAATCCCATTTTGTTGAGGAGTTCCCACACATGAAGTCTGATGCAAAATACCTTGTGACAAGAAGAACAAGGAAGCTGCAATACTGCTGCCCAATTCTAGAGCATTATCTGACCTGATAATCCTGACCTTAGAATTGAATTGCCTTTCCACCATGCTCAAAAAATATTTTAGAACTGAAAATGCACTACCCTTTGTGCTTAGTAGATAAGTCCAAGTGGCTCTACTAAAATCATCCACAATAGTGAGAAAGTACTTGTATCCATTGTGAGTAGGAGTTCTATAAGGACCCCATGTGTCAATATGTATTAATTCAAAAGGTTGCTTTGTTTTGATATGACTGATTGGAAATGGTAATCTAGACTGTCTTGCTAATGGGCAAACATCACAATGACAACTAGAATAGAAACAAATGAATTGGAACTGATATATTTCATTGCATTGAAAGGCAAATGCCCCAATCTTACATGCCAAAGTTTTACATCAGATTCTGATTTTGCTGAAATAGGAAAGGAAGTTGAAACAGCATTAGAAAAAGATCCAGGCAACAATCTATTAGCTGAACTAGAAAAAGAAGTTGCAATGTTGGAAAACAGGGTTCTAGGTTCTGTGACACTAGACTTCACTAAGTAAAGTCCCTCCTTAGCTTCACCAAAAACTTGAGGGCTCTTCATGAGAGGGCCCTGCAAAATACAGCCAAAAGAAGTGAAAACTAAAAGACATTTGAATCTTTGACAAAGTCTACAAACTGAGAGTAAGTTGTATTTGAAACTAGGAATATACAAAACATTTTCCAAAACTAGACCTGGGAAGATAGAAACACTACCAGCATGAGTAACCTTTACCCTAGAAGAATCAGGTAACTTTACCATAAGAGGAAAAGGTAGTGGTACTAGGAATAAGAATGTGTTGGCATTGAAACACATATGTTCACTTGCCCCTGAATCTATAATCCAAGAGTTGGAGAGATTAGAATTGGAAACTGAATAACAGGAAGGAGAATTAGTAAACAATATACCAGAAACTGAATTTGCATTAACATCTTGAGAAGTTCCCTGTCCTGTTTGTAGTTGATTCAGGAGATTAACCAACTGGCTGAATTGATCAGATGAGAGCTTTTGAGCAAATTGAGGTCCCTCTACCATGTTGCCATGAATTTCCTTTGTATCTTCTACCACAGTGGCTGAATTTCCTTTTGGAGAATTTTGCAGTCTTTTGTTCTTAGTAAATTTGAAATCAGCAGGAAATCCCACAAGTCTGTAACAGTTTTCAATTGTGTGATTAGTCATCTTACAGTAGGAGCACATCTGTGTATTCTTCTTTCCTTTGTATGCAAAATTTCCTTTATAACCAGTATTTCCATTCTTCTGTTGAGGGGGATGAGGTGCTGCAGAGTTCTGATAACTCTGAGGTCCTTGATTCTTCACCATGAAAGAAGCTCCATCTGTTGGAAATTGAGGATTAACATGAATTTTCCTTTGATTCTCATCTTGCATGAGAAGTGAGTAAAACCATGAGTATGTTACTCCTAGCCAATACATAGGTTTCATTCAAACCCATGAGGAATTGGAATAGCCTCTCATCTTCCTTAAATTGCTGCATTTTCTTCTTTCCTCCACATTCACAGTTGCATGAGCACTGCATATCAGAATTAAGAGTGTCTAATTCATCCCATAATCGTTTCATTCTAGTGAAATAAGTGGCAATGTCAGCAGTCCCTTGTACTAAATCAGCAAGTTCCTTTTGCAGGTGGTAGAGCTTGGCACCATTAGGTTGCCCAAATCTGTGCTCCAGATCTAACCAAAGGTCCTTAGCAGTCTTTGAGTAGAGAACACTATCAGCAATGACCTTGGTGAGAGAATTCAATAACCAAGAGGTTACCATGTGGTTGCATCGACTCCAGGTTGAGTGATTAGGATCTGTGAGAGGTGGCATAGGGCATGAGCCATCAATGAAGCCCAATGTGTTCTTAGCTGACAGTGAGATGAGGATGGATCTGCTCCAACCAGCATAGCCATGACCATCAAATGGGGTGTTCACCAGTATCATACCTGGTGCATCAGAAACATGAAGGAAGAAGGGATGAGAATAATCAATGGAGTTTCCATTGCCTGCTGCTGTTGAAGAAGAAGGGGTGTGTGTGAGTGGAGTTTCAGTGACATCTGAACCAGGAGCCATGGTTGAAGAAGAAAATCAGAAAATCTGAGGAAAATGAAACGAGGAAGAAGAGCTACTGCTCTGATACCATGAAGAAATTGAGAGTATAATTGGAGAGAATTTTCTGTATATTGAATTGATCTCATATGTACAAGGACACTGTATTTATATACATGTATTTCTAGAAAAGAAAACAAAGGGAATAAAAGAATAGCCTATGAAATATGTACACTTGTCCTAATATTATTTGTGTATGTCTAACAAAATAACTAACACTATCATTCCTTCTTCAAATGGCACAATACGTGCATGTGGGAATCTTCTAGATTTTGAGTGCAAATTAAACGGACCAGATTTAATCCATCAACATTTCTTTGAACAGCTGAGATGAAGCCACGTGGCTCATTGACTGCCTTAGTATAGTCAAAGATGAGATTGTGTCTTAGCCTAGTTTTGTCCGTCGTCTTCAACCTTAGCTTTCCTTTTCCTTCTTCTTCATCCATCTTCTGCAACCTTCTTTCTTGTCCACAATCATTTTCGTTACAAAGCATGGATTCATTTATTCCAACAGAAAGAGAGTCCTAATAGATTAGAAATTCAGGGCAAAATCCTAACAAGATGCAAAATTGGTTGTGTAAAAAATGGGATTCGAACCTCTTGTTGTCTTCATGTTCTCCTTCCGAAAACAAGTCGCTAACATTATTTTGTTTTGTTTTTCAGTTGTTTGTTTAGAATTTAGAAATGTTTGGCAAAGGCATCTGCATAGTTGTCAGGGTGGCCGAGTGGTCTAAGGCGCCAGACTCAAGTTCTGGTCCTCGTGAGAGGGCGTGGGTTCAAATCCCACTTCTGACATTTACTTTTGACCTTTTAACAATTTTTTTTTTTAGTTTTAAAAAAGCAATTCCTTTAGGTCAAAACTCAAAAGTAAGGTCTAATGAAATGGAAGAAGCAGGGAAGAAAGCAGGACGATCAGCGAAGAAAAACGACGGGGCAAATCGCTCAGGTGAAAGTGTAGTTTAAGCGTCATTAATTCAACTAATTGCTTTTCTGCATATGGCCTTAGGCATGGTGTTGCTCCCTGGACTGAACCATAAAAAGCACCTCTAAATCTTTTTAGATGCTCACATAATTAAGAAATATTATTTTCATCTTGATAATTTTAAGGATAAAGTTTGATCCAGTCTTATTATAGTTTGAAGTTGATCTAACTTGTTATTTATCCAATTTGTACGCGACCTTTCTTAGGTAAAAACAGCTTCTCAAATTAGTAAAAGATAACTTTTTTACCCTTTTCTTTGAGAACAAACTAGAACAGGTCTCAAAATCAATTTAGAATTCAAGTTTTAGAGAGTTCCCAAACCATCACTATGTCAACAAGTAGTATATGGTGCATGTATGACAAAGTAGTGTTAGCCTGTTAGGTCTCAAACAGCGTCTAATCTGATAAAAGTTTGAGGGGAAAAAAATGAAAGAGAAAAGTCCAACTTGAGAAAGGAAAAACATTCTACAAAGCATACTCTAGTACCTAATGAAGACTAACGAAACATGAAAAAATATCCAAACATATTATGTTTAAATTCGAAGAAAGCCAAAAGACTGAAAATAAAACATAAAGCTGTACAATAACTTTTAACAGGATATCACTGTTTTTTGAGTGCTATGACTAGGTTTTCTTCTTCCATTTTTTTCTTTTGGCGTCCTGTATCTGAAACAGACTAATTCGGATACCGGTGCCGATAGGGAAAATAAAGAAGAACTAGCTGTACACAAAGCCAGGAGATTCTCTTTTTGGGTGTAGAACTAGGTGTAGCATTTGTTTGTTGAATCGTAAGTGGTGGATATCTCACTAGGACATGAAGGAGAATCCCAACTCAAACTAGGCTTCCATTCATCAGCCAAACTAGTTGTCAAACTGAAAGGAAATCCAATTGATCTAATGTTTTCCCATTGAGTAGTATTATCATTTGTTGAATCTTGATTACTCCTTAACCCTGCTTCATCATCTTCCATACCTGCACTTCTTTGCATCTCTTGTGATGAACTAATTGAGAAGCTGTTCAGCTGTTGATTTGGACCTTCAAAATCAATAGTCTCAGAGGTCTTGATGTCATCAGTGATTAAGGCGGGGGATGTGTTGAAAAACATAGAAACCTCAGGGGAGGAAAACATGTAGTTGTCTGTGCTAGGACTTGAAAGAAAAGATGATCTTGATGCCATAGTATTAATTGTTTTATATGAAGGAACATTTGAGGCTTGTTGTAGTAAGTCATTGTTACTGGATAAGTGGAGAAGTGATCCAGTTTCAGTTAAAGAAGAGATATTCTGTGAGCCAAAATGAACAGTTGTACTTTGATTGAACACCTCCGGAGATGCAACTTCAGATACCGGATTTATCCAAGAGTAAGAAAGAGCTCTATTTGCCATTGAGTTGGTTTTCTTGAATATTCTGCAGATAGCCCACGAATCCTGCAGGAACCAAGTTGAACATAGTGATTTAAACTAAGGTAACAAAGTCTAAAATGGATAAAAATGAGGTTAATTAAGCTATATAGTGGACCTACATTTGGTGGAAAATTTCTATCCAAGAATTTCTTAGGTTGTGCTGACTCAATATTAGTTGTAGGAAGGCGAAACTCGTGCATCATCCAGTCAGTCTTTATGCCTCTAGCGGCTCTACCTCTGTAGAAGACTAAGGACTTCTTCAAACCAATACATTTGGTGCTATCAGAGGAATATATTGGTCTGTCAGTTCCAGTGGCCTTCCAAAAACCAGCTCCTGTAACACGGTTTGGACGGCTGCTGTTCCTGTACTTACGGTCCCTTGGACAGTAAAAATACCACTCTTTTTCCCCGGTACATGCTACCTCTGGACAAAAAATGGGAAGTCAAAGAAATATTAGAGTCTGGTTCATAATATGTAAGAATGACATGCAAACAAAAATAGTGTGACATCTTCTCTAAGTCTAAGATTTATATTGATTTTCTGAAAGGAAAGAAACATATAGTTTAAAACATTCTTCTTTTTTTCAAAACCAGACAAATTAATGCTCCAAATATGCATAAACATAGACCAACCCTGATGCATATTATGTGATTGCAGAAGATAGCTACTGCATGTTTAAAAAATGGTCAGAAGTTTCCTTGGTTCTTTTTGAGTTACTTCTATACACTATCACGCAACCTAAAGATAACTATAAGTAACCGTTCACAAAAATTGGATTAGTAGCCTGAAAATAAGGGAATTTACTTCCCACAATACGTCAGTGTACACAAGTTAAATCTTTTTTTACTAGTACGAAAGCAAGGACGGTTTCCTTTCGTGAAGAAATTAGAAACGGAAAAAGAACCTAAAGAGTCTGGAAATGAGATGCAGAGGAATTATTTTCTTACTTGGAAGATCCCATGGATCAAATTTATATATATCCACTTGTTTGATGAGCTCTATAGGAAGTGATCTCTGCTGAATCTTTCTCTTAAGATAGAATCCAACTAACTCTTCATCTGTCGGATGAAATCGAAAACCAGGTAGCATCACTTCATCAAGCTTTTCCACATCACTTTTGTTATCCATAGTTTCTCTAGTAAAAGTCTCAGTGCAAATCAACAATGTAATTCTCAAGTAAAGGTCTCAGGGCAGAGTTTTGATTGGGATAGCAACTTAGAGCATAGTAACATAGTTTGAGGCCATATTCTCCCTTAAAAACTGCAACTTAAGGACCAAAGTGAAGGCTATAGAGTTGTTTAAATCCAAATTTATGATCTCAACGAGACTAAAGAGTTAAGTGTGTATGGAGATATGTTTTTCACACCTCCCATGATGTGCTATTGTTGGCTACCTCTTATATGTTATTTTGAATTATGGCAATCAAAACAAAATGACAAGGCAATCTTCTAATGAGATTAGTGTATAATTAATATATTAATATGTTGGAGTTTGAATAGTTTTTTGTTTAGGGTGCGCTCTGATTACTGTTTGACAACGTTTTGTGTACATCCTCTGGAAGTTCCTCTGATTAAAATATGACTTTTAGGTCATTGGATCTAAAAATGGCAGTTTCTATTCTCTGATGAAAGCTTCTATACTTCCATAATCTTATTCTTTCAGCGACCTACGACCACGTGACCTGCCTCATTTAATATTTCGGATTCGTAGATATTCATTAAACAGAATTTTGAAAATAATTACAGTAAATAACCACTTAACCCCTTTCAATTTGGAACTACTCCCCCGTCTCATGTTAGTTGTCATGTTTCGCTTCTCGAAAGTCAACCTGATTAATTTTCGGAGCTATATTGAATTAGATCAACTTAATATTTCGAAAATAAAATTTGAATATATAAAAACTATATGAAAATTACTACAAGTTGCAATTTTTCTTATGTCTTTTTTTTGGTAAATATTTTTCTCATGTCAATATGATGAAAATATATTTTGAATGTTAGTCCAAATTTACATAGTTTGACTCCCGAAAAATAACACATAACAATAATTTGGGATGGAAGGAGTAATAAATTCGCTAGTTGGATAAGGAAACACTCATAAAATGTTGTCTTAAGTGTTTGTCTTGTCACTTTTGTCTTTTAATTGATCCATTTATTTAGTCGAAATTTTCATTACAACCTTATTCCCACTTGGTTACAAGACCATTGAATTCATGTGCAATGCGAGACATGAATACAGTATGATGATATATTTTCCGACAAACCTGAATTTTTCTTAGCATAAGTTACAGAGAATACAACGTAATTCTTCAATAAGAAAATCTCGCATTAGACTTGGTTTAATTTACCGTAAAGTATCTTACTTTGGATCAGTAAAAGAGATTAAGATGGTAAAAGAAAGGGGTAAATTATGTATCGTCAGAAGATTGATGGATCTGGAAATTTACGTCAGTGCATTGATTTAGGTTGGAATTTGGAGAAGATTGAGTATAATGCAAGACTAGGTTAACCACATTGTTTTACCAGCATCTAAGTGGTGAGCATGTGCACCCAAATACAATGAAGCTAATTAATGGGTAAATATTGCAGGTCACCAAACAGTAAGTCACGAGCAGCTCACCTACTAGAGTTGACTTGCTGTTTGACTGCTTCTGTAATCTTTTGATCATCTATTATTACTTTCTTTGAAATGTCGTCAAATATTTCGAAATCAATATTTATCAAAATCACTAATATATTAGGACCAAAGAAAGTAATAATTATTTTGTTTAACGTAGAGTAATATAGACGAATAACACTTCTATATGACATTTATGAACATGATAAAATTTAAGGCGAAAATTGCTCTTTTTTTTTTAACCCATAAGAGGTTGTAGTACGTAGTATATGAAAAGTTGGGAATTTCTTTTATTTTACTCATCTGCAATGATGAAAATATCACATTAATCTTTCAAAGAATTACATCACATTTTCAAAATGTATGCACGCTTTGATAAAATAATATTTACGACTGAAAATGACTTTCTCATAGTTGCATATGCAAAATGATGGCGATTGTGTTTAAGTGTAAGGAATCAATTATTTATCGATATATATAAGTCTTATAGCATGACATTTGTGTGGCACTTTGCTGATTTATCAAGGGGCAAGGAAAAACGGAAAATATATTTGGCCAAACCAAGAATGGCCCAAACGTCCCAAATGGGGGCATAATGGTAACTTCGCACGGCTTTTGAGGGCATAATGAATATTTGTGCATTTTTGTTTTCCATATGTACCCTTTGGCAGATTTTTCGTTTTAATTTAATTTTTTTCAACAATTCTCTCTCACTAATTTAATTGTCTTACCTTCCCAAGATGCATGCTTCATCATTTTCCATAAAGCTCCTTTACATATACTATACTAATTAAACGAAATACACTAAAATATACATATACTATACCAATTAATCGAAATACACTAAAATATACAGATAATATATTAGAGGAAATACATATAAAAATTAGAGGAAATACGTATAAAAATTACGGATTTATGATTAAAGTGGTCACTTTCTAACCCTAAACACTTAATATATTTGGCCAAACCTAAAAAGCTTTTCCAGCCCCCATTTTTCTATCTTTGTTTTCTCCTTCTTCATCTCTTATCTTTCTTAGGGTTAGATTAAGGAATGGACCACGGGAAGAGGAATAATGCTTCGAAAGTTTATGTAGTGTTTCGTGGTAAGAGGCCTGGATTGTACAACTCTTGGCATCAGTGTGCTCTTATGGTTATTGGTGTCAAGGGTAGCATCTTCAAGGCCTTCAAAACGTATGATGAAGCCATAGCAGCTTTTAATGAGTTTAGAAATGGATCTCAAGCTGATAGGTTATCGACATCGAAGGTGTATGTGGTATTTCGTGGTAAAAAGCCAGGATTATACAACTCTTGGTGTGAGTGTGCTCATATGGTTATAGGTTTCAAAGGAAGCATCTTCAAGTCTTACAAATCTTATGATGAAGCAGTAGCAGCATTCAATGAATTCCAAAAAGAAAATGTTTACAGTGAAGAACAATCTTCAAGTTCGTGTGTTGATGAAAGTGATGTTGTAGCAAGTGCTATGTCATCTGTGTTGTTAGCTGGAATGTTTGTAGGGATGAAGATTTCAAAAAATTGTTCAGTTTGATTGTTGATAAGAGTATTTTGTTCAGCTTTTGATTATTGTTTAGTTTGGTTATTATCAGTTTGATTGTTTAGTTTGATGTGTTACTGGTTGCCGCATTCAATCTCTGTAGATTAGAGTATTTAGGATGCCAAAGCCTTTGTCTTTTGTACTCCATGTTGGAATGAAATAAAATATGTCTCTTGAATTTATAAAAAAAAATTATTTTGAACTGAACTGAATGTTTTAGTTTGTCTATATTGTTGGAACCTTGTAAGTGCCAAAGTGTTATCATTTTGAACTTGTTTTAATCGGTACTACATTGATTCATAAGCACTCAACTATCTTCAAGTACTCATCAACTATCTTCATAAGTTTAGTATGTGCTATATTTTGCATCTTGAAGTACTAAACTATCTTCATATTTATTGACAATACATTTTCCTATTGTCCAATGTTGATGTCATAAGTTGAATGTGCTATATTAATTTGGAAAATAAATTGACCAATTTTAGAGGACTTAATTAATCTTTACAGATGTTACGTACTTTCATTTCATTAGGCATCAAACGAACAGTTGCAATATTGTAGACAATAGGACTGTTTTGTTAACTTGAATCAAACGATCATTATGCCTCACTGTTTTTTTAAGGGTTTTCTATACCCTTGTGTTGTATCATCAAACTCTATTTTTGCTAATACATGACCCCAGGTAATCTAGAAAAAGTTCATAAAAAACTAAATAAAAAAAAAAGATTCAAAACATAATAATAATTTCATTCATTAATATTAGATCGCATGATAACATCACCAATACATAATGAGAAAAATAAAAACAACACCATAGGGGATAGACAACTTCATAGACTAGTAGAAACACATCACCATAATCAAAAAGACAACATGAGATAAAACTTCATAATATATGGACTACTCAATATTCTGATTCACGGAAATAAACTTTGAGGTCTTGGAGACTGATTCGGTATCACTACTGATAACAATGATAGAATTGCTCTTAGCTCCATTCTGGACGTATGGTGTGGGCATATCGTCAAGCATAGTATAGAGTGAAGTTAGGGGATGCTCCTCCAACATCACACTTTTTAGGTAATCAATGCTTGAATCACGAACCACCCTCTCAATCAATTCATTAATCTCATGCTTCAGCTTGCTATAGTCACGCTTAAGATCCTGGTACAAAATATTATGACTAACCGGTGACCCATGGAGCGGTTGTTCAACAGCTTTCTTGGTCGGAGTCCTATCCATCGTTATGCTTAGATGTAGTAGTATTTTCAGTTTGATTATTTTATGTAGATCTAGCATATTTCACTCAAAATATATAGGGAGGATTATAATCTCTCAATTATAATAGCTATTCCACTTCCCAGTAGGAATTAAAGTCTCTTTGTAGAGACCCTATGCAACCATTACACTTCCCAATAGCCATATCCGCTCTTCCATGCGGACATTACACATCCTAGCAGACCCTTCCACTCCTACATGCATCCATTGCACTTCTCCATGACTACAATTAATTATAGAAGCTTATCTTTAATTTATCCATCCGCATATACAGATTTTGGATTTTTTTTTTGGAAATAAAACTTCTGCCATATAGTGGCAGTGCACTTCATAGGTTTTATGTCATAGTCTTACCTTAGAAGACTTGAGTAATCCATGTAACAATTATTTGATCCTTGGTCAGGTTTAGGTTTAGGTTTAGGTTCTCTTTTGGTTTAGGGTTAGGTTTAGGTTTAGGTTTTGATTTTCCGTATTTATTTTTCCACTTCTATATGAGCAAATTAATGTCGAGTTTTAAACTTTTTTGGCAAAAAAAAAAAGAAATCTTCCTAGTCTTGTTCTTGGTTGTAAAATGGTAGAAAAGAATTGGGGGACTTCTGCACTAAATATGTTGTTAAATGACTTCCCAATTTTAATTGGCTATTTTTAAACTAGTAGTCTTCTTAAAATAAATAAATATAACAATAATAAATGGAAAAAACACAAGCAATATTATAAAGAACAATCATATTAATCCATTACTATGATCCATTTGAAGTCATTACATATAATTAAAGAGAAGAAATTATCAACCTAAGCATTAGTTAGTCCTAGCTCTTCAACAGAGAAGATCACAGCCCCTGAAGTAGCCTCAACTAGTTCAAAGAGAAGGACATTCCCTTTCTTCAGACTATTGTCGATAACAAATTGTTTCCACCCATTGACGAGTCTTCTCCGACCACCACTTGTTAGAGTCACAACTCATTCCTTCCCATTACATTGAAGCATTATTTTAACCGAAATAGGAGGAAGATAACCACATATACTCTTTGGAATAAACTGCAAGAACACAATGTAAAGATAGGGTTCAGAGTTCATTGCTAGTTGGGATAATCAACAGTTATCAAATCATGAAAATTTAAGAAAAATAAATTACCAGAAAATCACGCTTAATGTACGATTTGGGCATCTTCATCCGAAACCATGGATAGAATTCTTCTTCAATCCATTCGTTAGCATTCATGTTTAGAGTATCTATTTTGTTTAGAGAGAGATGGAGATGTTGTTCTTGTGTTTAAGAGATATATAAAGAGTAAAAACTTTCAATTTCCCTCCAATCATATTTTTACTTTTCCCTTTGTTTCCCTCCAAAAATTGCATTTAACATTTTAGTCAAAAAATATCATATTGTTTTCCCTCCTAATAAAGA